ATATATTATATATTAATAAAGGTTACAAGGAGACGCTGAGAAAGCTGGGGGAGGAATCTTATCAATGTATACAAATACTTGACAGGGAGAATAGAGAGGATATAACCAGTAGTATCCAGTGAAAGGATAAGAGGTGATGGGCATAAATTGAAATACAGTAAATTCCATCTAAACGTAAGAAAGAACTTTTTACTGTGAAGGTGGTCAGCCATTGGAACAAGTTGCCCAGAGAGGTTGTGGAGTCTCTGTCCTTGGAGATATTCAAAACCTGACTGGACAATGTCCTGAGCAACCTGCTCTACCTGACCCTGCTTTGAGCAGAAGGGTTGGATAAGACAATCTCCGGAGGTCCCTTCCAACCTCAACTATCTTGTAATTCTGTTAGTAACTGGCAAGTCTGTAAAGGGCAAGTTCAGAAGACAATCTCCACAGAAAAAAAAAAACTAGTTGTAAACATGCCTTCAAAACATTTTGGGGGTGGGGGGGAATCACTGCATTTCTTTTTTCTATATCAGATATTTCTTCTTTTTTTTTCTTTTTTTTTTTTCTTTATTATCTTAGAAGTTTGCACTCAAACAGACATTTGACTCCTCTGTTCCTTAGTTCTCATTTGAAATTGCAGTCCTGAATTTGTTACAGCGTAACCACGCTGACAGCAACTAACCTTAAGGTCTTGTCTATATTCCAGATGATCACAGGTTATAGATAATTTATTTTCATTTCTGAGGAGCAACAGGATATACATATTCATTTCAACGAAGCAAGACACTAAGGATCTGGTACCCCACATACCAAGTATTTGGATGGCTTCTATGGATGCAAATACTTGAAAGGCGCATACTCTATCCAGACGTAATGCACTTGCAAATATTACGCAGCACTCCGTTTGCCATCTGCATATGATGCAAGCTTACGTCAGACCTCATTTGGGAAGCCCAGCTCCTTCTTACCGGTTCTAGAGACTTACGCATTTCTTTTGAATGGCCCTTAATTAAAACCCAACTGTGTTGGGCAAAAAGAGTAGCTAGCATTTGCAAATTTTTATTACACCAACAGGAATGCTTAGTTAAGTGCTGTATTTCTAGCTCTTTACAAAGAAACCTACATACTCTTGAATGTTCGCTGTACTCTTGCACGACAATGAATCCTCCCCCCCAACAGAAGAAAACCAACACTTCACAAACACTGGCAAAATCTGTCTAAAACACTGCCAGAATCTAGTCTGTCAGGTATTTGCACTACTGCACAAAGATAATGCAGTTATAGAAAATGGAGCTTAACCGAATTCACAAAGTTTTGTTTAAAGATGTGTCCTCTTCAGGGGCGTTTAAAGCATTGGCTTTCATTTTCCACAGATCTACAGAGAAAGTCCTCTCCTAACTTTCAGTCTATTGCCTGTCTTTAATCTGCTACTGTTCGCATACTTATCCTCACTTATCATGAGCTATGCAAAAATGAAAGCCTGACTCCAGCTTCCTAAGGTTATTTCTTACCCATAACAGCCTGCTCTGGAGAAGTGGGTGGAGTGAGTGGCATCCCACAGGTACTAGCAGGATCTTTCACGCTTCCAAGCCCCTGCTGTCCCACATTTATATGGCCTCCAGTATTGGCAGCGTTTTGTGACATGGGGATGTCACTCTGGGAGATGAGAACAAAGGCTGAAGGATACACCATCCTTACACCACCTACAAAGAAATGGAAAAACAAAAGTCTTAAATATACCTGATAATCTTCAGCAGCCCTAGCTACTTCAACTTGTTTTCAATGTCAATTAGACAAAACTTATTATCCGAAATATAAAGAGCTAAGGAATTTCACATACTAGTGTACATCTAATGCTCTGTAACCAGTACAGAGCTGAAACAAGTAGCTTGATACTGTGAATAATAGCATGTGGGATACGGGGAGTACAGAAGCTTGAGGCAAGATAACTAGTCAGATGTTCGAGTGTCAAGAGAGCTACAAGAGAAGATAGGAAAATTATAATGGCTGTTTCTGATTAATTAGTTTTTTTTTTTTAAAATCACATGGAGGAACATAATCCTTCAGGCAGAATACTGAAACTTACCAACAATGACTTCAACTGCCACAGGGAAATCGTTGTCATATCCCAACTCTTCTTCCTCTTTCATGCCTTCTTTTTTCTTCAGCACCATAGGGTAAAAATACTGCCATTCCTCCATCAATTTACGAGTTGCTGGGTCTGACATCTTGTATGACTGGCCCGTGAGTGTACCATTTAAACCATAAGGACTCACCAAAACTGCAAAGTAAGAAACAACAGTCCCTACAGCATGAATATTTCAACTATGCATCAGCCAGTCTCTGCCTCTCTAGCTTGAGTCACTGTTCCATTCGCATGCTGATTTAAGGTTCTGTCTTCAGGGGAAAGCTACTGCAAAATCAGGTAAGGGTGTGAATTTAAAGCTACACTACGCTGCACTAGCTTCCTGTACAGCCATCCTTATGAGCTAAAAATGGACCTTTTTCCAGTTTAATTTAATCATTTCCACAATGAACTAATCTAAGTGTACTGAAACAGCACTCGCTATGGCAAAGGGATGACCATACATGGAAGTAATAGAGGATAGATATTCAACAATAGGGTTTTTAACAGGAACATATGGTACTAGAGACTTCTCAGCATTAAAAAGTATAGAGATAACAACATATGAAGACGACTACAGTCATGACAAATAAGGAAATCTAGTTGCTCAACAACAGGTATTTCCATTCAGACTCAATTTTGCTTTTAGTCATATTTGATTTGAGAGTAATGAATTTAGCTCACTGAAATAAAACCTTCTATGATTTAAGTGTCTGAGCCTCTGTCAAAACTTTACATTTACAAATAAAATGTTTTTCAATAAAACTTCTATAAATTAATGTCTCTATAAATGCTCATTTTATAAGTCTCTGGGTGTTTCTTTACTGTATGTTTAATTTTATAAAGAGTTCTTGCTTTAATTGCCTTGGAGTTATAATTTCAGACTGTAGTAAAGACCATATTGCTCAATGACTCAAATACTCTTAAATTTTTTTGATGCATTGCACCAGAATTGCATCATGAATTTAATAAGCCACTAACTTAATTCTGTAAAACCCTAATTTCTCACACCGGCAAATAAATAGTGACAGATACTTCAAGTTTTTCGTTGTTTCTGATACATTTCCCCCCCCCCTTTTTTTTTAAAAAAAAAACCAAATCAGAACAAAATAGTTGACAATCGAGGAATGAAAAGTACTCGTGAATTAGGTAAGCTTAGTATTTGTATTCACGTAGCATTGAAGTTACAGATTTGAGTCCACTGACCTAGATACCATGTAAGAAAATTGAATCAGTGCACTCACTTTCTTAAACAACAAGTCTTTTCAAACAAAAATGATTAATTTCTTTGTTTTATTTACTATATGCATGTACCTTTAAAAACAATGTTAATGAATAGAAAGCTCTGGAAAATTCCCATACCATTTATGGCCAGCTATAGTGCTGAAGTCCTAGCAACACCTTCCCTTATGTCCACAACTCCCTGAATAGAAATTTAACCCATTTGGAGAGTTACTTAATCTTACTTTATTCATCTCTGAAGATAACATCACCAGGAGCGAAGTCCCTGCCACAGAGAAGTGAGGTTAAGCACACAAAGTTCCAAATCCAGCTCACTTACCTTGGAACGGTGACGGTGAGGACTGGGCCATATGGATATGCTCTTCGTTGATCAGGTAGATTGGCTGGTGTTGAGCAATCTCCACACTTGTGCACACATTGCTTTCCCCATGAAGAAAGAATGTGAAGGCACACGACAAATGTTCGCTGGAAGAGGGGGAAGACAAACGAGAAACAGATTTATTAGCATGTTAATGAACTCATAGGAGGTAGTGATTCCATAGCCTTAGAGGCCAAACCTATATTCTTCTGTTTTGTCACTTGTTGCTACTGAGTACAGGTTCATTGACTGATGAATAACCATATATGACAGAATGACCTGTCACTAGACAGCTATCTGACAATGTTGGCACCCATCTCAAGGAGTTGTTTTCCTACTTGTTTCAATTAATAAGATCATCACAAACAAATGGGATTTTAACCAGGATTCAAGTAGTAAAAATAAGGGTCTTCAGAAAGAAAAAGGAATTTTTCAAAATTCACTCTGCAATGGGTTCTAGCTGAAAAGGAATAAAAAAGGAACAGGAAAGATGTTTGTTTAACATCTCAAGAGAACCTCCATTAAAGAAAATAAAAGCACATGAATATTACAAAAAGTTGAAAATGGTCTAAGATGAACCATGGATTTGCCACTGACGATTAAACTTAATTTGAAATGAATGGTATTTAAAATGTTCCCACTTTATTCTACCCGTAGAATGGCCTCCCATCATAGCTAACTATTTGCTTAAATATTCCTTGCCACAAAGCCACAAGAAAAAGAAAACAAAACACATTTCATGCTTTTTATCATCATTTTAATCAACAAAAAATTTACAGAGCTGAAGTGGTAATTATGCAGTAATTTTTCTGTCCAATACAATAGCTGCACATAGCTTTATAGCTGTTGGCTTTGGCACTGGGCCAGCCATAATGTAACCAGTATTTTAAAGACAGCTCTTAACTACCTTCACCAAAAAGAAATAACACAGGCAACTATAGCAATTTCACTTTAATATTTAAGTCAACCAACTGCTCTACTACTGTCAGCTACTTTTAAACAAAGGCACTGATGGTCTAAAATAGGAAGCTGTTTTAATCTCCCTAAATCTCTGAATGATCCTACACATCATGTAGAACAACTTTTCATCCTGTACTACAAGTTACTCTTCTGTGAGCCTCAAATACTACCACAAAAATCCTGAAGAAAATGGTCAGCTGAGAAAAATCTGGAGAGAGAAGGTTACTTAAATGACAGATAACAACTAAACTTCCTTGGTGCTATCATCCTGTATTCAGTAGTATTTTGTAGCAATCATTTAATTCCATGAAATAAAAGGTTTCATTAGATTTCCATTTTCACAAGGGAAAGAAATTTCACTATCATCAGTGTTGCAGAAGTAAATCGATCATTAATTTACATGGGGGGGGATGGAGGAAACAGGACATGGCACAAAATAGGTCATAAATTCCCGCTATTTCTATCCAGCTATCTTACCCCAAGAAGGAAAAAAAAACCAATTCATGTAAAAAAATTGAACAACGGATTTCTGCACATACAAGAAATACAAAAATAAAAGCAAAGCCCAATTATTTAATCAAAACCCATTAGTTTCCTTACATAGGATGATAGCCCTTATTATAATAAAGGTCTTAATAAATAAAAAAAGATGAGAAATCTGGTCTAAGATCAAGCAGAGACAATCTTTGCAAAGAGTTCAGCATGCAGCAGGTCAGCCTTTCTAAAGCAGAGAGCAAAGCTATCTGTAAAGTAGTCATTTTCAACTTCTGTCTTTAGGACATTACACAGAAATCCTCCTCATTCTGCAAGCTTCCTACAGTGTTTGACTGTGAAAAGTCTTACTTGTCTTCTATTGAACTGAAGACAAAAATAGCCTTCTGGGACCACACAGGGACTCTTTCAAGTCTCTTGCAAAGTGGTCTTGCATGAACAAATCACGTGCAATCTTATGCAACATTCACAACTACCCGTAAGTTGTGACAAAAATAGAAATAGAAAGAAATAGACAAAATCAGAGTTTAAAAGACAAAAGATTCATTTGTTTTTGCAGGGAAGGGAATGCGTGCCAGTAACTTTTTCAACTGCGAATCAGCTAACACCAAAATTAATCATTAAGTTCAAAAAATTAAATAGCCTCGGACTAAAAGTGTGTACAACTAATTACAGGAAAAAAGAGATACAAATACAGTATTAGCCCATTTTACTTTCCTACAAACATGACAGATTAAAGAATAATAGTAATGACTATTACTACTCATGACCAGCAATAAATACTTCATTAGTGAAAGGACCCTTTCTAGCACTGGATCCAAAGTAAATCATGCTCGGCGATAGAAAGAGAACCAACAGATCTCATTCACTCAAGTATTCCTTTTCTTCAGACCACAACTAACAACTCCTTATGGTACCAAGCATCCTCTGCCGAGCAAGCAAGCCTCCAGCCGGCCTGCGCACGTCCAGCATTCAGCTTTCTTTCCTGCTCCCCTCCCTAGGCCTTACGGTGCTTTGCAGGAGAAGAACCAGTTGCATAAATCTTCTGCTCCCTCTGATGCCAGAGTCATTGCTCAGCTTTCAAGACCAAAAATAATAAAGATCAAGGCCTGAGGACTTCCTACATTCCTAATAAGCTTCTGGCAGATTCCGAGCAAAATGTTTACTTTAGTAACAAATACGAATTTTATTTCAAGAAAACAGCGTCAGCGCCCTCTGTGATGTATTCCACTCAGGCCTGTACATCCCAGCCTCCTGACATTCCTGTCTTTAGTACATTTCACACAATTCCTTAAATACCAAGCTGCAGAAATCACTCTCGCTCCAAATAAAATTCAAGTAGAAGAAAACTTACCAAGCTAAAAACAGTGAGCCTTCAGAAGCAGACCGCACTGAGGCTTTACTTTTAATAACGATTTAGCTATAGCTCTACAGTGTACATCAAGACCTACATACTTCAAACCAAAGCTCTAAAATACGTAAATTGTTCAGGTCCTCACTAGAGTCTTCCAACAGTGTTTTATCAACATCCAGTTTTCTTAACAGACCTACTACTCTTTGTGCTAACAAAGGCACCATAAAAAAGCTAAACACAAAATGCAGATCAGACTAGAGTTTCTAAAAACATTCAGCACCATGTTCAGACTGATTTTTTTTATTTTATTTAAATTTATTTCAACCTAGTTAAAAAACCGAAGCTGACAGGCTTTTGAGAATCCACTCTACTATCTCTCCAGGTTTTTAAACTTACTCATTTCTGTACTCTTTCTTATCTCCCTGACATTCAAAATATGAGAAACCAACAGAGAGGCATGTGAAATGGCTTCCAAACTATTTCCCCTACTCTACAAAGTCTGTTGGAATACCTTGAGCTGTCAATTTACACCTGTTCAGAACAAGTACAATAATAAAAATACTACCAATTTTGAACAGCTGCATTATACATTTACTTTGCACGTATTAATGAATTACACAAGGAACAAAACTAGCTTCAGAATCACGGTTTTGAGCCTATACTGCTACCCAGAGGAAAGGAAGAAGGGACAAAGACTCTTTAGGTGAAAGTGTGAAAGCAAGGTGACCATCCTGAGCAAGCCACCAGACATTCCTCACCCTTCTCAGGGGAGTACAACATGCCATGTATTCCCTAGTAGAAGTTCCAAATCATAAACCTGAATCAGACTGAAGCATCGAACGCATTAAAAAAAAATAGTTGGGGGCATTTAAAATTATTTATGCCTTGCGTGCAGTATAAAGTGAAAATGCTTAGCCGTGTACCCATGAACTTAGTATGAAATATACTTCAGATGGATTAATTCAGCTACCTACCATTTAGGGTTTGAGGTTTTTAATTTCTTCCTTTCCGTGTTTTTTTTCAGGCATGCAAACAGTGCCACCAGAGACACTGGTAGCTGCAGCAGTCTTCCATCAGAAAATTTCAACACAAACTTAAGTAAGACCTATTCTTTTCATCCTATTTTATAAAAATTGGAAACATTTTAAAAGAATGCAAGTCTGTAACGGTACTCTTGTCACACTACACAAGAATTGTTGTCTCTTTTTTACAGGTACCTTTTCAGAAACCTTTCATTCCTTTACAGGTGACTGATGGCTGCCTCAGTTAGGATGTTATCTTCCCAAATAGAATATATAGAACATATATAGAATATATGTTATTTCCAACTATAGCTGCGTTAAGGCCGAGGGCTGAAAAATGCTGAGCACTGTGGTCTTGAGCCAGCAGAACACTTGAGCATACGCTTTCAAGAACATTTCCACTATATTCACTGAGAGAGACTTATGTTTAAATAAAAGGCTTCTATTAATAGAAATACAAAGAAAACAAAAAAATAATCACTCCCCAATTACACAGTGACCAATATTCTGTGCGACTTCCCTTAATTTTATTTTGAATCTGTTCTTGGTGTTTAGATCCCTACCTTTTACGAGCAAGGAAATTGATAAGGAAAAGCCCAAAAAAAGAAACAGCAATGTCATATAATCTTTTGTAACAAAAGAAAAAAATGTATGTCCTTCTCCTAAGTATCGCAGGTATTTTTTTTTCCCCCATAACACAGAAAAATCTTCAAATAAAGAGTATTTACATTAATCAAACCTTCAGTTTGGCACCTAATCATCTGCAACTGATAACAACTGTCTTTCAGATGATTCCTCTGGAATCTTCATTATCTTAAATAACCTTTGAGATGCCTAAAAATGTAGCTGAATACCTTGTCAATGTAATATTTAGGACCTCCCATAATCTTTATGAATGCCAATCCCTCAGTCACTATAAATGACTTAAAGAAAATAACATTACATTAAATTTACTTATATATAAAAATCAGATGAGGATTATGAAAACATGACTATGTTTAAACTACACAACGTTGGCAGAGAAAGGAGAACATCTGATGGATTTACATATTTTTTCCATTTGTTAGTAGGTTTATATAAATACCCAATGGGAACTGCGCTAGTCTGCATTCAAACTTTAAAGAGATTATTTCCATACAAATAATCTCAATGAAAAAAATGCCAAGGTATTACAATTCAAAATTGACTTTTGAATGTATGTACTAAATGTACATCTGCATGCAAAGTCAAACTGTACCTCATAACAGATTTCAAAATACATCATTTTGGATGACAAATG